ATAGGGGTGTATGTGTGTGTATGTGTGTGTGTGTGTGTGTGTGTGTGTGTGTGTGTGTGTGTGTGATTTACAATAAATGAATTATAATTATTTTTGTTTTGTGAAATGAAAACATTTTGTTGACTTTAAAACTGCAGAAAACAGCTATCAATATAATCATAATTATGTAGTTTTCCTCTTGTGCCTCCCAGAACAGCAGCCCCAGCATGTCTTTCCCCTGAACAAACTCTTTCCCAGTCCCCTGTCTCAGACCCAGTTTTATCCAGTAACCTGTGCCTTCTCGTTCCTCTTTCTTTGGTAAAATGGGGAGGCCTGAGTTTCTGTCTCTCCGTAGTCAGGAGTCTTTGTGGCTCCCTTTCCTCGTGGGTGAATGGGGTGAACTGCTAACCGCGAAGACCACTTCCCTAGGCCTCTGCTGCCCCCTGTGGTCTCTTCCGCGTGGTACTTCCTAGACTCTCACGCATTTTTGAAAGTTCTCTGAAGATCTAGTAGATTTCTCTACTGATGTTTTAATTTTTGTTACATTCACTGTTTTTGATGAGTTTCCTTAGCTCTTCATGAGGCCTGCTTCTTACGCCTCTGTGCAGCTTCTCAGTTTGCAGCATAGCAAACTCATCTCCCTTGGGGAGCCAAGAGGAACTGGGTGTTTGTTAGAAGGGACGGGACACCCTGCACCCCACTTCCCATCTGGCCCTTGCTCTCCTGTCGTGTTCAATGTCAGTATTGTGTACGAACTAAGAAAGAGGGGAGCAGTAGCAAAAGTAGACCAGCCCCCCGAAGATGGAGGCAATCCCAACTGGCGTTAGTGTCCCTGAGAAACCTTGGCTGGCTCCGTTTGTCACCCTGCCCTGGACCTGCTTCTTGGGCCACACTGCTCTCTGTTTTTTCATAAGCGAGTGCTGCTGCGGCCATGGTAGATGTAGGTCTAGACGGCGGTGGATCACTGGGCTGGGGCAGAAGGTGTGATCACGCTCTGGGCTTGAGGTGGAGGCACCTGCAGGGCGATGGGAGACCTCTGTGGCTCAGGCTCTCTGCTTAGCAAGTGAGACTTCCTTCATGGAGCCCCAGCAAGCACACATTCAAGACCTTACCATATTTTGCCAGCTACATGGGTGCGAAGCCCATGGCTGTCCCTGCATTTCAGCTGATCAGAAGGAGTGGTTTTCATTCTTCCCGGCATAAACCTGAGACTCCTGACTTTCCTTGCGTGTGCTGTAGTAATTCTTTCTCAAACGAAAGAACCAATGACCCAGTTCCCTCAGAACGGATGGGTGTAATTGGACTCATAGTCTCGCAGATGCAGTCTGTGGGTGCCTGGCTAGACCCTCTGGCTGTGGGAGAGTGGCGGGGAGGAGGCAGAGTGAGACTGGGAGGGAACCCATTACATCCTACAGAGGCACACTCCAGTGACCTACCTCTCCACAAGACCCCACAACACCAAGTCCAGAACTTCCCAAAAGAGTACCACCAACTGTAGATTAACTGATGCCTGAGCCTGTCGGGACGTTTTCTTTTTTTTTTTTGGTTTTTCGAGACAGGGTTTCTCCGTGTAGCTTTGCGCCTTTCCTGGATCTCGCTCTGTAGACCAGGCTGGCCTCGAACTCACAGAGATCCGCCTGCCTCTGCCTCCCGAGTGCTGGGATTAAAGGCGTGCGCCACCACCGCCCGGCTTTCTTTCTTTTTTTTTTTTTTTTTTTTTTTTTGGGTTGGGACGTTTTCTGTTCAGATCGTGACATGCACATTTATGCAGAGTGGCAGACATCACACTACTGCCATGCCGTAGAGACTGCAGTGTCCTCCTCCAGCTGAACGTGGTGTGGAACCTGCAAGTCGTGCTGAAGGGTCTGTGTGGGGCTCTTTAGTCGGGTCCCAGGTCCCAAGCTGCTCAGCCCACAGCCGAGGCTGATGGGTGCCTGCAGGTCGGACTGTCTCCAGGGGAAAGATGTAGGCTGCATAGCAGGGCACCCATCAGTGCTGCTCCTTGGTGGCCCTCCTTTTGCTCTGGCTTTTCTCTCTCAGTCCTCTGTCGCCCCAGCTTGGCTTTTGGCTTCTTGGACTTAGTTTCTGGGTCCTAGGCAGAAAACACCAAGTACTGGGAGCTGTAAGCATTCATTTCCTGGAATGTTCTCAACTCTTGCTAGAAAGTTTTCCTCTTCCTGCCGAGGACACAACCTATTCTAACAGGCCCTAGTGGGGACTCCTCTGGAGGGGGCTTGTTGGAGTAACTGAGTTCAGAGGCGTGTGCAGAGAGGGTGGAGAATGGCTGGACCACTGTGAGCTTTAGTTCCCTCCAGGGTAAAGGAAGATTGGCTGTTTCTCTCTGTATGACTGAGACTTAGAGTAGGGGACTATGGAAGGACCTATTGGTAGATAATGAGAATCTAAAACACATAACACACAGGTATCAAGTCACATGCTGACGAAGAAGGGGTGCTCAGGGCCTTTACCATGCACCCCATCACCGCCTCCAAAGTCCACCCTCTTGACACTGTAGACTTCTCTTCCTTAATACAAGTGTGTGGGTCATCCCTTCCCTAGGGGCTGGTGACCCCTGGAGGCCTGTTACGTTCTAGGGCGTAGGGAGGTCCTGCTCACTCTCTCTGCTCCCTTTCCATAGAGTAGAAGAGACCATGGTGGGCTGCTGTAGTCTTTAAAGCAATGCTGGAAAAGTCAGCCCATCGCTTCCTGGCACTCACAGAGCAACCAGTGAGAACCAGGCACGGCAGTAACCACTTGGCTGCCTCTTTCCCTCGCTTCCCAACAACAATGTGCAGTGTTGATGTTAATGTCATCCCCATTAGAGACCCAGGCTTAGAAGGTTAAGTGAATCACCAGCAATGAGGCACCCAGCACCCCTCACCCTGCGTGGGATGTGGGAGAGAGCTTGCCTCATCTGTGGGGGGACTAGAGAGAAAAGGGGGAGGCAAGGGGAACCAGGCAGCAGCTGGTTCTTATACCTGTGACGCATCCCTAGTCCAATAAACCCTTGATGGGGACAAGGGAGTGAGCTAGACCAGGGGCTCAGCTCTGCTGGACCCCAAGGCCACATGAGTTGAGTGAGTACTGCTCAGAGTCCAGCACACATGACAGCTGTGTGTGCAGAGCAATGCATTTCTCATTTTGCTGTGGACAAAGCCTCATCTCACAGTCCCTTCCCAGAGGAACACATTCGTAGCAACCCCTGAGTCTTCTGTCCTCATCCCCACACAGCCCCATCTCCTGTTGGGAGACTCGTAGTCTTGGCCATTTGCCTTCTAAATCTAAACCATTTAGACAACCATTTGGTTTATGCCATTTTTTTCTTTAGAAGAGATGGAAAATTACTGCTTTGCGTACTAGTCATCTATGACCAATGCCCCATCAGACTTCTCTTTCTTGGGACAAAGAAGTCCTTTTCCCTAGGGCCTGGGGAGAAAGCTCATTGGGGAAAGCACGTGCTGCGTGGGAATGAGAATCCGCCTTTGATCCCCAGAATTCACATAAGAAGCCAGGCATGGTACATGCTTGTATTCCCAGTGTCGGGGAGGCAGAGGCCAGTGTCAGATCCTGGGCCTCGCTGGCCAGCTAGCCTAGCCTAATCTGTGAGCCCCAGTTCCCAGTGAAGGTAGATGGTGCCTGAGGAGGAATATTCAAGGTTGACCTCTGACCTCCACATGCATGTGTGCGCCTGTAGCCTGCTCACCCATGGAATGCCCCTTCTCCTTAAACCTCCTAAACTCAGCGTTTCTGTCCATGATGACTGGCTTTTTCCTGTTCCCTGTTCTTTTTATGATCGCTTGATTGCTTTCTAGAATTTTCTCCCATCTGAGACAAAGCTGCTGTCAGGGCCAGTGTCGGTGAGATGTACCTCCACGGGGCTCAGTTTTAGTATGTGCTGGGGTGTGTCCTACTTCCTTCCTCTCCGTCATCCCCTCCTCTGCCCTGGTGCTCCACAGCCAGGTGTGTAGGTATGTAAAATGCATAAATCAAGTATTTACTCATAAACTGTACATTTCTTTAACACCATTCATATCTATATCTCTCTATATATCTATATCTATATCTATATAATTTTACCACTTATTAAAGATGGCAGCAAGTTGTATACCAATGGTTTGGATGTGCTTGTTGCCTTAATTCAACCCAAACGTGCTGATTTGATCCTTACATGTGCACAGTGATAGTAGGGACAATGCTTAGTCTGTGCTCCATAATTTAGCCGTGACGCTTCCACGAGAGTAGAAAGCGTTGTATGCATTGTTAGAACACTGCAGTTCCTAACTTCCAGTTTGTTTGTAGAGCTGTGATAAACACCATGACCAGAAGCAACTTGAAGGAGAGGGTTCATTGGATTTACTTCCACATCATAGTCCATCACTGAAGGAAGTCAGGGCCGGAACCTGGAAGCGGGAACTGAAGCAGAGGCCGGAGGAATGCTTCTTACTGACTTGCTCCTCCTGGCATCATCAGTTACCTTAGGACCCAGGCCCCCTGTCCAGGGTTGGCACCTCCCACAGTGGACTGGGTCTTCCCGTATCATTAAGAAAATGCCCCAGAGACATGCTCAGAGGCCAGTCTGTTTGAAGTAATTCCTCAACTGTCCTTCCTCTTCCTACATGACTCTAGCTTGTGTCAAGCTGACAAAAAAACTAACTAGTCCGATGACATACAGTCTTGGCTGTGAGCTGAGGTGCTTCAGGCCGCGTTCAGGTCGCTGCCTGGTGTGGAGTACGCACTGTGCGTTCAGAACTCAGGCGGCTGGGAAAGCGTGCGGCACTACATGGATGAGCACTTCCAGAAAGTCTTGCGTTTGTTACCCATGGGAGTTGGAGTTTTTGGTCATTGCATATTCAGAAACCTCTACTGTCAAAGGTTTTCGATGTCCGTATTCAGTTGGTGTGTGATGTTGTGACTCAGTACAGGAAGCTTTGACTTGGACAGCGCTTAAGATCCCGGAGTCGGTGGGGATGGGGTGCAGGACCATGTTTCATTCATTTGGAACTATCTGCTTCTCTTCCCAGGTACCCAGATAAGCTGCTTCTCCCCAAGTTCTTTCTCCTGGCGACAGGCTGCCTTCGTGGATTCATACTGCTGGGCGGCCGTCCAGCAGAAGAGCTCCCTGCAGAGCGAGTCCGGAAACCTCCCACTGTGGCTGCACAAGGTAATGAGATAGGTCACACCTGCCGTACTTGCTTTACAGATACGGAAGTGGAGGCCCGGAAAGGCTGCCCCACTACAGCCATGCAAGCGTGTGTGGTCAGCACACTGGAGGAACCTCAGCAGTGACTTCAGACGTCTCTGGAGCAGACAAGAAATAGGAGCTCTTTGAATTGTAGCTTTTCAGTGACAGGCGTCTTGTACATCATTGTTTTCTTTGTGTCCTCAATCCCCTGCAGAATGTCTGGCCCACGGTGGGCCCTCGGTGCCTTTTGAACATCCAAATAAGCAGAGCTGGGGTTTGAACATTGCCCAGAGCCTTGTTTGTGGCACCTGGGGTCACTCAGAAAAAGTACAGACTAACATATGGTGGAGTTGCTTCTGGCCCTTGGGTTGCTGAAGCACCCAGAAGCCTGGCCATGAATCCTGGGTGCACAGCTCTTGATGGGATTCTGGTGAGTGCATGCACTAAAAGGAAGGAGAAATGCTGCACAAGAGGCATTCTTAACCAGGCTGTTCAGATTAGAGAGAAGGGGTGAGGGCAGGGCACTGCTGGGTGGGAGTAGACAGAGATTAGAGAGTAAGAAACTGCAGCTGGAGCCAGCAAGTGTGTGCAGAAGAACACTCTTACACTTTCAGTCTCCTCTGGCAGTGGTGATGTGACATCCGTGAGTGATTATGTGACACCTTGGGTCTTCTCTGTGAGTGAGGATGGACACTTTGGGTCTTCTGTAAGTGGTGATGTGACATCTTGGGTCTTTTCTGTGAATGATGATGTGACACTCTGGGTCTTCTGTAAGTGATGGTGGACACTTTGGGTCTTCTCTGTAAGTGATGATGTGACACCTCGAGTCTTCTCTGTGAATGATGATGAGACATTTCAGGTCTTCTGCAAGTGATGGTGGACACTTTGGGTCTTCTCTGTAAGTGATGATGTGACACCTCGAGTCTTCTCTGTGAATGATGATGAGACATTTCAGGTCTTCTGTAAGTGATGGTGGACACTTTGGGTCTTCTCTGTAAGTGATGATGTGACACCTCGAGTCTTCTCTGTGAATGATGATGAGACATTTCAGGTCTTCTGCAAGTGATGGTGGACACTTTGGGTCTTCTCTGTAAGTGATGATGTGACACCTCGAGTCTTCTCTGTGAATGATGATGAGACATTTCAGGTCTTCTGCAAGTGATGATGTGACACCTCGGGTCTTCTCTGTGAGTGATGATGGATACCTTGGGTCTTCCTGCACATACAAAGCAGGGCTCTGCTTTAACCTGTCCTTCATCCCCTGGTTCTTTTACCCTTCATGAAAAACAAGTAGAACATTTGTATCTTCTGATGCTCTCATCTGCTGTGGAAAACACGTGGTTTCTTCTGCAATGCCAGAGCTGACCATAGATCCTCTGACAGCCCGTTAGCATTCTTCTCCGAAGCAGACCTTGTTCTGCATGCTGTGACTCATGCTGGCTCTGACCCTATCCTCCCCCACACCTGTTTATTGCACGTTTGGCTTGGGTACCACACGGTGACTGGGTTAGGCTTTTCTCTTTGATTTGCTGCCTGAGTGCTGGACAGATCCTTGTTAGTTTTGCATGATTTATATATCACATTGTAAGAGACCTTCAGCACAAGCGGGCACACTTGCAGGGGATGAGAACCTTTGTTTGTAAATCTCAGTCCATGCTGCTATAGTTTAAGTCCATGTTAAAATGTCACTGTGGAAATGCCAAGTTGTATAGTGTCTGGGTTGGCCTTGGCTGAACCGCAGGTTATAGCTGGGATTGTGTAAGGTAAGAGTTGGCAGGTGTGGTAGCCACTGTGGGATTGCTGGAGCAAGAAAATCCCAGATGTTTTTCACAGGAAACACTAAAGGAACCTTGAGAGATGAGGCCCAGGACCATGAACTAGTCTGGGCTATACAAACAGAACCCAGGTCTGCAGACTCCCGGCTCTGTGTTTCAAGTCACGGAAGTGGTGTGGGTGGCTACCTGGTGGGATGAGCCACTGATACAGCTGAAAGTTTTCCTGTGTCCCTCCTAGTCCCAAGTTAACACACAGAGGCTTGTATTAATTACAAACTGTGTGGCCTATGGCTTAGGCTCATTACTAGCTAGCTCTTACAACTTAATTCAACCCATTTCTATTAATCTGTGTTTTGCCACGTGGCTTTATGGCATTACCTGTTCTCTCACATCTTGCTTCTCCTGGTGGTGGCTTGCAGCCTCTTCCCCAACCCTGCCTTTCTCCTCTCTCTATCCTTCCGGGATCTCCCGCCTGCTCCATTCTGCCCTGCCATAGGCCAGTGCAGCTTTATTTATTAACCAGTGGGAGCAACACATATTCACAGCATACAGAAAGAGATTCCCCAGCACTTCCCCTTTTCTGTCTAATCAAAAAGGAAGGTTTTAACTTTAACATAGTAAAATTACTTATAACAAAACAGTTATCAAGCAAGAATTACAGTTACAATATCTAGTCTATTTGTATTTGGCAAATTTAAAGAAAATACTCTATCATGTATCCTATTTTTGTGAGTCTAAAGTTTCATATCTAATTTACCTTTTGTCATAACCAAGGAAAACTATAATTATAACTCTCTAGTCTTCAGCTCCATCAAAGACCCCAGAAGGGGCTCTCTTCTGGTGTTGAGAGACAATGTGTTTGCTTGGACACATAGTTCTGCACACCTGAACAGAGCCCTTGCCAGGCTCACAGGTCTGGGGGCAGATGGAAGGTCAAGCCTGCCTGGCTAACACTCAGGCTCGGTTGGACCTTTCTTTGGGAAAAGGGGCTCCCTCCGTGGGGTTGGAGTCCTGCTCTGAACACTTCAGTACCAGGAGAGTGAGCTGGCTTGGGCATTGACGATGTGTCCAGGTTACCTGCCTGCATAGTGAAGCTGAGTCCTCCCTGAAGGAAGGGGACATCTCCAGAGACTCAAAAGTGTGCTCTGTCCTTTCCATGCAGGGTGTTTGGCACTCAGCAGACATACCACAGATGCAGGGAAACTCCGAGAAAAGTCGCAAACAGGAACAGGCCCATGGGAGGACCTGATCAGAAACACATCAGCACTTATTAGCAATGGACTCAGAGAATTGAGGTCTATGGAGGACGTCACAGGGAACTAGAAGAGTCAAATGGTGATTTTCAAGCTGCCGACAGTGACACGGAATTCCTTTAGCTGATGTTGCTCTCGGGCCCTCCATATGCCAGGGTGTGGGCCTGGCAGCAGTGGGCCACAGATGGTGTGTCACACTCTCACAGTTCACTGGTGGGGAAATGAACATGCGAGAGAGCAAGGAGGGAAAGTGTGGCTTTCTAGAAACCCGGGGGCAGGCTTGCAGAGGGCTTCAGGAGCTCTGCTGCTGGGGCGGAGCCAGTCCTGCCGTGCATTCATCCTTGGTGCTCCCTCCCGGCAGCGGCAGCGGGGAGTCAGTTGGTGGAGAAGTGGCAGCCAGAATGAGTGTGTGGGGAAGAAATGATGCTGATGCTTAAAAACAAAAACCGTCCTTTTTCTTAGAGAATCTGCTTTCCTTGTGGGCGGAGGGAACAAGGTGGGCGGGAACGGGAGGGAAGGCCTCCTGTTCAGGAAGACCCTGTATGTGAGAGTCCTTCTCAGGAGGAGGAGGAAGAGGCTGGGGAAGAGCCTGCAGATGCTTACCCAGCAAGCAGGGAGGCTCTGCCTAGGGCAGCAGGTGGCTCTCAACCCTGGGTCGCCACCCCAGGAGAGCCTGAATAGCAGATATTTACATCAGGGTTCATAACAGTAGCCAGATTATAGTTAGGAAGCAGCAAGGAAATAATGTTATGGTTGGGGTCACCACACGGGAGGAACTGTATTAAAGGGTTGCAGGATTAGGGAGGTTGGAAGCCACTGGCCTTGGAAGTCTGGGAGTGAAGCATGCCTGGGGAGTGTAGGGGGGAAGCACTGCTTGGGGAGTGTAGGGGGGAAGCATGCCTGGGGAATGTAGGGGGAAGCATGCCTGGGGAGTGTAGGGGTGTGGCACTGCCTGGGGAGTGTAGGGGGGAAGCATGCCAGGGAACTGTAGGGGTGCAGCACTGCCTGGGGAGTATAGGGGGAAAGCACTGCCCGGGGAATGTAGGGGGAAGCACTGCCCGGGGAGTGTAGGGGGGAAGCACTGCCTGGGGAGTGTAGGGGGGAAGCACTGCCTGGGGAGTGTAGGGGGGAAGCACTGCCTGGGGAGTGTAGGGGGGAAGCACTGCCTGGGGAGTATAGGGGGGAAGCATGCCTGGGGAGTGTAGGGGGAAGCATGCCTGAGGAGTGTAGGGGTGCAGCACTGTCTGGAGAGTGTAGGGGGGAAGCATGCCTGAGGAGTATAGGGGTGCAGCACTGTCTGGGGAGTGTAGGGGGAAGCATGCCTGGGGAGTGTAGGGGGGAAGCATGCCTGGGGAGTGTAGGGGGGAAGCACTGCCTGGGGAGTGGAGGGTTGAAGCACTGCCTGGGGAGGGAATGTAGGGGGGAAGCATGCCTGGGGAGGGAGTGGAGGGGTGAAGCCTGCCCCTGGAGATGCTTGTCCTGATGTGGAACAGGTGGTCTTGCAGACTGGCATGGAGACGAGGTGATAGAGAGGAGGGCCTGATCTGTGACTGCCAAACAGGCATTGGAGCAGTGGGAGCCACTGTGTGTCCTGGGCAGAGTGCTGGGTTCTCAGAGCTGGTCCTCAGCAGTGGTGGGAGGAGAGACTGGGAAAGCCTAGCCAGGCACAGAGGGGGCTCTGGTCTGCAGGAGGAGGCAGGGAGAGCCACTAGCCAGGCACAGAGGGGGCTCTGGTCTGCAGGAGGAGACAGGGAGAGCCACTAGCCAGGCACAGAGGGGGCTCTGGTCTGCAGGAGGAGGCAGGGAGAGCCACTAGCCAGGCACAAAAGGAGAGTTTAGGTTGGGAAGGAAGAGGCAGTGGTGTGGGGAGAGCCTAGTGAGCCGGGAGGAGAGGCAGAGACCACTAGCCAGGCTCAGGGAAGGTTCTGTCAGGACAGAAGAGGAGGGAAGC